ACAGGCACGTACCAAGGAGAGGAACTTGTACCCACCCCCCGGCATCACCACCATCGAGGTGCCGCGCCAGTCCTCCGCTACCGGTGCGGGAAGGGGCATGTCAGGGAGGAAACATCGAAAATTGAGAAAAATGGCGCGAACGCGGCCAGGGGGGCACGCGGTTGGGACCAGGAACATCTTCCTTCCCTCCCCCTTCCCCTATTCCTTGCTCCCGTCCACGCTGTCCCTTCCCAGGCCTCGCCCCCTCCCCCATTCCTCGTTTTTCCATACTCACGCTCGGGGAAGAATGGGATCAGGGACGGTGTGTCTGGCGGCTCTTCGCCCAAGGCCAAGGGAACATGGCCGCGGGGCCAGAGGGAGACACGGGGCAGGTCACCAGAGGACTCTGAGGGCCCAGAAGAAGGAGGGAAAAAAGGGTTGGACGGCAGCATGGATCGGAAGGAAGCGGAGTATGGAGATAGCAGCAGTCCCCCTATGAGAGTCGCGGTGGTAATGAGGGAATAGACCACCAGGCGGGACAGGGACGGTCGCCTGCAGAGGTATTGGCGAAGCGACGGCCATACTTGCCGTAGCAATTGACTTTTCCGTGAGAGCCCCGCCGGTTCCATGTGTAGCGGATGGTATATCCCCGGCAATTGCGCAGGAGGAGCTGGAGCCGATGGGCGCGACGGGCGACCCGCGGAGAGGGTTCGATGTCTGCCTTCACCAAGAGGTCCTATCAAGGATTCGGCCTCCTCCACTCTCCTTGTCATCTTCCCCTTTTTTTCTCCTACATTTCCTCTGCCTTCCACGAAGGGAAGCTTTTCGTCCGGCCCGATTAATTCAGGCATGGTACGCTCAAGGAGCTTCCACACAATCCCTATGTCTAACGTACAAAATGAGAGACGTCGGTGTTGAAAGGAAGAATTGGGGTTAAGAAAATCCTGCCCAACGCAGCAAGTTACAGATCAGCGTCGCGTTAAAAAATGATTCAACTGAGGTTCCCATGCACAACATGAAGATTCCTCATAGAGCCTCACATTTGAACATGGACGTGCACAGGCACCAGTAAACGTCGCTGCTGCGGGTTTTGGCGACGATGATGTGATGGAAAAGATACCTGGAAAAATCTTGAAGGCAGGGTCACCACCCCGTCCAATATTTGGTCATTCTTAGAAAATACACGATGGATCGGTCGTCAATCATCACTTGCGCATGAGGCTGCATCCCCCCCGCAGGAGCGGGCTCGTCCAAACCCGGGGGTTTCAAAGGGGCCCAAAGAACGAAGGGGGGACTTAATCTTGATGATGCGATGGAAAAGGTACCTGGATAGGCCTGGCGATGATGATGTGATTGAATAGGTACCCTGAGTCGACAGGCAGGTGCTCGACACCTACGGGCACATAAGTGGAAAAGTTGACAAACCACCAATTCTTTTGCATAATGCAGATGACGTACATTCAAAGTTTGTTTGGAAGTGAACAGACTGGTCATGGTGATGATGCTTCTCACGTCGGCCAACCATGCCTCGCTATAGGCCTAGTTTTCTAATCCTAAGCACTCTACCTCCCCATTCTTGCGCTCGATTTTGCAGGGCTCTAGCACCTTCTTGTTGTCCGCCCGTGAAAAAGAGGAAGATAAATTATGGCAAAGGATCCAAGAAAGGAAATACTTTTGCATTCCCGAGCGCCCAAGTACATCATTGTCGGTGCTGGACCTGCGGGCTGTGCATTGGCAGCGGCCCTTGCAAAAGGACAGCAGGGCAAGGTTGTGATGGTGGAGAGAGGTAAAGAAAAGGTAAGATCTATGTTGGAGAAAATTTTACTTGTGTGAGAGGGCAAAATTCATGAGGAGATGAAGGCAATTACAAGGAGGGGAAACCAAGGCATGAGGTCTTTCACATGAGCATTCAGGACTCCTATCTCCTCCCTTCCTAGGTGCATACACGCTTCGTGACTAAAGTCAACGACTGGGTGAAAGCCTCCCTCCGCTCTTGGAACGCGGTACAATACCTGAGTGTTCCACATCGCCACCTCGGGAACCGGCAGTTTGTTACTCCTCGCGGCCAAGGGAAAGGAGGGACGGGTGGGTGGTTCGTGTCGCTTTTATAAATGCCTCCTTTTTTCTTCTAGCGTGCCCTTTTTCATCCCAGCCATGTCCATCAATCGATGATCTTCTCCGCTTCGCATAAATGTACGCCCCATGTTCTGTTTCCGCCCTCTCCCACGACCCTGCGGCCCTCACGCCCCCGCCCCGCTTACCACAGCCTTGATCAACGCCATGCAATACTCACGGGGTTACCGGAAGGACTATCAGGCTTGGGAAGAATGGTGGAAGATGGAGGAAATTGAGGAGTGAGGAGGGAGGGAGGGAGATGCCCGGGAGTAAGC